GATATTGGCAGGAATGAACATGAATAAAGATTTTCTGTTGTGCATGCTGAGGGCTTATTTGTAGTCTCTTGTTTAATTACAAAGCTTCTCATTCATATGTCTCTCTTTACACTGTATTCTCAATTTCCTAAATATCATCTGTTGTTTTTCATCTCCAATTCTCACTGTTTCTATAATACACAGATGGTATTATTATGTCATGATAGCAGGTGTTTCATTAAGACTTGTAGTGCTGATACTAAGGATTGAGAAATTTACAGACAGGGACATTTTGATGACCCGGGCTACGCATCGAAAGGTACCCCTGAGACAACGGATGATGAGGTCTTTTAATTCAGCCTCAATTGGTATCTGGACTGAGTCAGGTCATCACAATCACACACTCCAGCAATCAACATTTGTATACATGCAATAGTGTCGTAATTATGTGTCGAAAGCCTACATTAGCCACACAGATATGGGAAATGTAGATACAATTACAGTGCCTTGCGACGTTAAATATCTGAACACAGTGTTACCCACCACCACTGCTGTAACTGATCACTATGGCCGTTCACAGAAACAACATCCATGTAGCTTTTTTTTTTGCTCCAGGGTAGATTATGTTTGAGATATCCATTCAAGATCTAAGAAACCACTGATTACTGATCAAACACTTCTCTGGAAATTAGTGTTACAGTCTATCAAAGATCCCAGTTTGTGGATAGTAAGAGGGCACATAGCTGAGCATGAGTGACATCCATCCATCCATCCATCCATCCATTCTCTTCTGCCTATCCCAGCTGTCGGTCGCAGCCGGTCGCCAGTCTGTCGCAGGGCGCATTTCTTTCAATATAGAACAACAGCAAAGCCATGTCCTTGCTGACCAGAGCCTCCTCAGTTCAAATTCTGTTTTCCTGTTCTTTAATCTCCTCCACTGTGAACAAGAGTGTTGCAGTCACAAGAAAAATGCTACTGTCTTAACAATACAGCTAAAGAATTCATTAAATAAATGTATTAGTATTATACTTTTTTAATACTCCTTTTCAATATTTCAATACTTTTTAAATACTTTTTAAAATATACTTTTTAAATCGTACAATTCATCCACTGTAGTGGTGGGGATTTTTAAAACTTGGATTTGTACTGCTCATATGTATACAAAAAAGTCCCACTCCCTGGAGGTGGCATGTGTGCTCCTTAAACTCGACCTCGACCTCGAGGCCGTGGACTCTGAGGGTTCTGCACAGTATCTGACTGTTCCTAGGACTGCACTCTTGTTACACAGACCTCTGATGTTGTATTGTCTTATGTTCCTGCTCAGGTGGTTCATGTAATGCCTAAGAGGAGTTTCCATGTTGTGGTGAGAGGGGTAATTGCGGTTGGAAAGATCCGTCATGATTACAATTGTTATTCCTTTAGGAATAGAATAGAAGAATAGAATCAAACTTTATTAATGCCTTGGGGAGGTCTCCTCAGGGAAATTATGATTAGAGCAAACACCAGTTTACGTTAAATCGTAGATGTAGGTCATGTTGGGTGATGGTGCTGTTCATCTCTTCATTCCAGAGACTGGTTAGATGTCTGCCTTTGTGATGTTGACTGGTTCATGCTCTTCATCTCACTCTCCCAGATGTTTTTCCAGCTTTGCCCAGTTTCAGCTATCTCCTTGTGCTTTTATTCACTTGTAAACCATGGATGGTTCTTTAGAGAACACATTATTTATTCCCTTGGCTTCTGCCTCTCTGATATTTCTCTTTAGCGCAGTAGCCAGAGCTCTGTGTCTTTGCTTAGCAGTTTCTTGAGCCTCAGTTATGGACGTCTCATTGCACCTCTTATCCATTTAGGACCTGTTTCTTATGATCTTATTATCTGCACCTGAGTTAGCCTCCAGCATTCTTCCCCATGGGGGTTTTCCTCTGTTGCAGTAGCATATATGAGCTCATTGGTTTCAGTGAGTAAAACTGGTAGTGGGGATGTTGCATAGAGCAGTATTCACATCTGCAAGCGTCTCCTCAAATGCTCTTGGTTGGGTGGCTCCTGTCAGCTGGACCACAATTTTCATCCTCAGTTTAGATGCTGGGCATCATGCAGATCTGGCCTAGCCCGGGAACCCTTAACGGATACATGGAAAAAAAAATAGGACTTACCAAGTTGATAAAGAACGCTGTGACACCACTCAGTGTGATTGCTGTTGTTAAGTATAGTGAAGACAGATAACAGGACACAGGGTAGGTTGATGTTACTTCATAGTACAGGCCCCATGGTACAGGGTGTGGTTCACCTGTGAAATATTAAAATATCAATTAGGAAAAAGACTGACACAGATCACCCAGTGGTGCTTAAGACCTCTGCATGTCACATTGATGAAAACTGCTTAATTTTGTTTCTCTGTGGTTCCCAGTTTCTCAGAGCTGTCCAAGTAAAGGTTGAACTGAAAATGTTCACTGCTGTTATTTCCATAAGAAGCAGTGTTTGTGTTTGATATTATTAATCAGCATTAAAGCATTGTTCAGTTCATTATGTATCTTTACATTTACTGTTACCTGTTTGTCAGGATTTTCCACTCTTAACTAATAAAGATGAAATGTTTATGTTAAACAAATCTATGTGATTTGTACAAAGTTTGCTGTTTAATGTCGTACATATGTTGTATTAATTTACTGTTGGTCAAGGCAGCAACAGCTAAGCCTCAGATACAGACCTTTAAGTCTTAAAGACAAACAACCAAAAAACACAGTTTTCTTTTTTGGAGCAAAAATAAGTTTATGTTTACAAAGAATAACAAGACTAAAGACAATTTAACAAGAGTGCCTTATTTTCA